TCTCTCTTCCTCTCTCTCTCTCTTCCTCTCTCTCTCTCTCTCTCTCTCTCTCTCTCTCTCTCTCCTGGCGGATGAAGGGTTATAGGCCTACCTTTTCTTTAAAAATCACATACCCGTACTCCTATCAAAATACAAGTATTATGCTTGCAAAGCTTTTGCCATAGGCGAACTGTCCGTACTGCTCTTTCAGATCTATGTGTATACGTGCTACATGACGCCGTTCATTTTAAAAGAATTCTTTTTTAAAGATACTGATAGTGGTAAGCCTAGGCTTCCTCAGTGGAAGCCTAGTGGTAAGCCCAAAGATTCTTTTCTAGGCCAAGTAAAGAATCTTTGGAAGGCCCAAAAAGCGTGGGAGTGCGCATTGCGCAACACTCCATGAACGTCCTGTCATAGGGCGTACTATTGTGCTCTGTGGTGTTTATCGAGATCTTTATCATCATGTAAAGTGAAGGTGGTACGCCTACTCCCGTTTTTAGTAACAATTAAATAACCTTTGTCATCGTCAGCCGTGACTCTGACGTCGCTCATACATTGTTGCGAGCGCCGTCGTAAAACTTACCAAAACAAAACATTGGCCGGAGAACAATTACATAGGCATCTTGGAAATCCCAACACTTGAATGATAGGCCTAATTCTATCTTGAAATTAACAATCTTTAAATTAAGATAATGTCAGGCATGTGTGCAGTGAAACCAAGTGCTCGTCAAAATGATGAAATCAAAGAAACCGGCATTTTTCTGGCCGTTGGGCAATCTTTATCTAGATCTAGATCTAGATTAATTTTCTTTTTTTTTTTTAATTAAAAAAATTAAACACGTTTTTTTTGAAAGATCTAAATAGAGTTTTCAAGGACTCTATATCTAGGTTTGGAATTCACCAAACTTTGGCGACAATTTATAATTTTCTCGATAATTTTACCGCTGACACGTCGTCCACGTGACCCGCCCATCCTTCAATCGCAAATATCTCGCTCATTTAAGATACATTACATGTATGTATATCGATTTTTTAAAACGTTGTTTTTTTCGACCAAAAAAAAAGAGAAAACAATAAAGAA